CTATTAAAAAGCTATTTTCTATGATTGAAAACATTTATCATTTCATTGAAGTGACATTTTTAATGGATTTTTTTGTTTCTTTGTTTGAAGAAAATTCTTTTTTGATTGAATGATAAACACAAATGTCCAACCCATTAAATGGTCCAATCAAAAAACAGCATTACTTCAATAAAAAAAGTTGCTTTAAACGAAAGAAACTCGGCTTCTATCAAAGCAAACATTTTCAATCAAAGAAAAGCAGTGTTCAAATGTATTTTTTTTTCAGTCTCAGCTATATTTTTGCATTCAAATACAAACTTTCTTTGATTGATTTTTTTTTCATTGAAGTGAAGGTGTTTTTAATTTGAAATATTTTTGATTGAAGCAACCTTTTTTTAATTGAATAATAAAGACAAAAATCTACCTTTATGTGGTTCTACCATAGACAAAAGGGCGCTGGAACGAATAACAATTAGAATTTCTAAAAAGCAAAATAAGTTAACTTTTAAATTTAGTGGAGAGAAAGTTATTAGTTCCCCACAACAAAATTACTGAAGTAAAGATAGACAAAGAAATAACCTAAGTACAGTAATAGAGTTAATGTAGTTTGTTACTTTTCACTAGAGGTGGGCGGATCGCTCCTTGGATGGATACCATTGATACCAACGCTGGTATTGATATTGAACAACATTCATTTAACAAGATGAATGCTTTTTATTCTCTCCTGCAGGCACTAACTGCAGCAGATTCACCAGCCTTTAAACATGTTATCTAAGTGGGATAACATGACTTTATTTATCCCATGACAGGGACATTTATAGAATCAAGGCAAAAGGCAAGTGCACACAATACAAACAAGATTACATAAAGATTTTAAGATATAAGAGGTGGATTAGGGAAAAAACACACAATGAACATAACATTATTAATATTATTATTATTCAATTGTAACAATAAAATAAAAATCACAAAATCACTGAAAGGTCAACAGTCCTATGATCCATCAAGTTTTAATTTAGTATTGGTATCGTATCGATACGGCGATACTGACCCTGTATTTACTTGGTATCGTATCGATTAAAAATTCCCGATATTTCCCACCTCTACTTTTCACCACTGCGTTTGTGGCAGTGTTTACTCTCATGCCAATTTTAACATAACTAATTTTTAGTCACTTTAAATAATATGCTGCCATCATTTTGCACATCTCTGTATTCTATTCTATTTTTAGCTTTAATATTTTATTATCATTTCCACCCTCTTTCTACAGAAGAGAATTAGGGCCACTGAAAAAAAAAGTTAAGTGATTATTATATTTTTTTTCCAGCTTAATATGGGAAAAAAGTCAGAATTCTGACTTTAATCTCTGAATTCTGACTGAATTCTGAGAGCTAACACTCATGTTAGCATCAAGCTGTAGCCTTGTCTAGAAACTAACTAGCTCTTTTGTTTTAATCACCTGCTCTTACATTAATGAAATAGGATGAAACCCCTTGGGCACGTAAAAAGTCTTCCCACATGCTCCCACATCTCTTCCTTCATGGTGCCCTTTAAGATTAAGATCCAGAATTTGGAGATTAAAGTTAGCATTCTGAGAAAAAAAAGTCAGAATCCTGAGAAAAAAGTCAGAATTCTGAGGAGTAAAAAGTCAGAATCCCGAGACTAAAGTCAGAATCCTGAGAAAAAAGTCAGAATCCCAAGGA